GTGGGTTTTACTGCTATCTTGGCAGTACAGCCTTCCATCCATGTCTGTAGCCTCCCTACCCTTCTGCACACCGATGCAAAGAGAACATTCTGCGCCGGAGTGCCTAATAATGTCTTCAGCAGGGTTTTAAGATATTACAAAAGTGTTATTAAAATTATTTCTATCTCACGTGAAATTATTGTCATTCGATAGCATGGATACACGTTCATATGGCTGGATGGATAAATAAGTGGACAGATGGGGGTAAACGTATTTACTCACCTGTCTAACTGCTTAATAAACTTTGACAATGATATAAAGCTCCCGAACTGCTTGGTAAGCATTCGAAATCGTTTTAATTTTCATTGCCAACGCCAGCAAAAATCATTTTTTCACCAAGTCCATTTTGTAATTCTACCTTATTAAAATAGAGGATTATATTTAGTATCAACCGCCTTCACAGCATTACCGATTTTATTTCTCAGACGGCCCAATTTAAATCCAAACCATTTATTTATTTCGCATTAAAGCTAGCGTTTTTAGCGGCATATGCATATTTACGAGGCGTTTTTTAACCATGCATGCGGAAGTAGGCTGTTTTTCTTCATGTTCCAAAAGGTTGCACCTCTGTTTATTCACTGGTTGTCACTATGTTACGGTCCAAAATAGAGGGCGAACTTCAAAATATCAAATGAAGAACAAACATTTTTGTTCAAAACTAAAAACTCTTGAAAAGTTTAAGACTACTAAACACTAGGACTTTTCATTACTCTGGTTTAAAATTAGCGATAAATCATTCCCTTTGCTCATAACAATGTAATGAATTAGCAAACACTTTTTTAAGCTGCTGCCCGTTGCAAACAACCGACGTCGCCATTTAGGCTTACACTCAACAAAGTTACTATTCGAATTTATATCTTTTCAAAATTTTAAATAGATTTTTCTTGTTTGGGTGACTGCTTTGAAAAAAATTCGTTTCATTATGCCCACCGACGATTGTATCACTAAAGTGGGCCAGCCTCTTCTCTTTTTATATTAAGTATTAACGTTCCATCCAAACCTACGAATATACGAATCCACTTATTTTTTTGATAATTAATAGCCCAAGTTTTGGTTGGAAATGTCACCTCTAATCTACTGGTAGTAGAGAGCATCCAACCCTGATTAGAAGCAGCAGCTTGAATGAAAAAAATTGCTACACTCTATGATTGAGAATATCCGTGAAGCGAGTGGTAACGTGTCAAGTAATAGGTGGATTTAAGTGTTGTAAACAAATTACAAATGAAATATTCCTTCTTCTGCACCGATATTGCTGCTCAAAGTAGCTACTTGGTCAGCTACGTGTTTAACAAACTGTTATGATTTTAAGTTATGGCGAATTTTGCCGTTTTCTAGTGATTTGGCTTTTATAACCCGTTCGAAAAATTTCGGTTTCAACTATATATGGGTAGGATTCCCCTATTTATTTGCCCTTAAACACATTAAATTAAGGAATGTGCATACCTGGAATGTTTTCGAGTGGTATTAAGTAAATTCACCTTGTGTAAATATGCCACTAATATAACTTCCAAATGTTGCACCTTCGATGATAAATAACCCATATGCCCACATTACCACATCTATCGGCTTGGTTTATATCTCACGAAAAGAATGCATCTAAACCATTTTGTGAAAAGGGTGGAAATCAAAAGAAAATTCGTCTCCCTCTCAAGGCTTTGTGCGGTTCGTTTTCAATACATTAGCTCCATATCTACTTGCATTCAGGCATCACCGCCACCAATTTTTTGGGGTCATTCATTCATGCACGGACCTCGTGACTCCTCATGGTGGTTATTTTGGCTAATTTTGTGAACCATTTAATCACTTATTGGCGTACTTACAACAACTTACAGGTTTACGATTCAACAAGGATTCACAAACTTAATCGCAGGGTTTATCATTTAAAGAAAACATAACTTCTAAAAGTGCTAGTCACCACTCTGTAGAATTCAAATTAGTTGAAAATACGCCAAGTTAATTGCCAGAGTTAATTGTCTAGGTAAGGTCAGTGGTTATGTCCATCTTGCTTGACATTTTGTTGATACTCATCTATGCACACATCCTCTAATTTTACAGTCACCTTTTTATCTTCCGAATAGCCTCGCTTAGTCCAAAATTACCAGTGGTGCTCGTTCGCTTTCCCATTAGTGTTAATCCTCTTGACCCTTTTGTACTAACCTCTTTTGCCAAGTAAATAATAGTCCTCCTTTTTAAGTAAGTGGAGGATTAGATGTAATTAACACATGAACCTCGGTCCGATTAGAGAGGCACGATGTGTGTAGTTTTTTTTTCCAGGTCATTCATTTAATAGTCTGAACCACATTTCGATGTCTAATCTTCCACAGCTTAATTTTACCCTAAATTAAAAACTACCATTGAAACGATGTTGCAATCTATTCTACTTAAAGTAACTTTTTAAAGCACTCTTTAAAGTATCTAATTAGCTGCGTATTTGATTTAAGGCATTGTAAAAGCCCATGCTCGTGAGTTCTGGTGAATGGTTTAACTGCAAAGCAAAACAACAAGCACATACTCTTGTCAAAAAAGTTACTTTTTTCTTTTCAATTAGGCTTAATGGCTTCAAGATTAATGGAGGAACTATTTCTCTAATTACATGTGACTTATGTGAAAAAACTCGTTATATGTCAGAAGGATCTAATCACAGGCGTGATTTTAATCCATTGGCTACAAACAAAAAGGTAGTTGAGCCTTGGCCTGAGGTATGATAATTAATGCAAGCTCATTTCAACATCTGGATCAACTTTTGGTACTTCGTTTTCTTGTGATGAGCGCTACACCTTATATTGGCAACCAAAATCTTACCAGCCCAATCGATAAAAGTGCCCGGCCGGTCTGCATTGTTCAAAATATGCACTTTTCAAGTGCATCGGTCGATAAGTAGGCACCCCACCAATAAATCCATCAACTAATTCACCTCATGATTTAAGGCCATTTCATTCCCCTCGTTATTCATCTCCGAGTTCACATGGTGTCAGCAAATTGGCAACAATGATTTCCTCTATTTTCTCTTGCGTACTGGACAATTTGGCCTTAAAATTGATTGAATGATGTATTTTATTAAATCTCAGTTGGGGCTGTGTTTAGTAAACCCGTAGTAGTACCAGCATTCATGCGAGGACACCATTTGGATCTAACTCCTCAAACTCCACATGGCTGTTACCAGTACAATCTGTTGCCATAAATGAAAATCTTCATTCCCTTTAATCAGGCCGACATGGATGAAGGATAATCCGTGTTCTTGCATATGGTAGGTCAAATGAGGTCGAGTAAACAATTGAATCTTAGCCTATGCTACCAACACCTGTAAATAGGTGCCTTCCGAACGTCCATGTACCGGTGATTTTCATCCATAACTTAAACCGAAGTTATTTATGGCCACTTTATTAAAATTAATAGATAACAAAGTAGCCTTAACTTTACTAAGTTAGACCATCTAAGTCATGCAGATAAGATCGGTTGCATTGTTGGAAAAATCATCACCTACAATAAATCTGAAATTTCTAATTTTCTGCCCAATTAACCAACGAAAACATATAAAAATTACGCTTTGTACACGTTTAGACAGCTAAACTGTGAAGAGCGGCCTGGATTGTCTCAAATTTAAATTGAGGCTTCATTGACCTCCACAAAAATTGATTGCACCTTGTTGGAGAAACTCTCACTTTTGTCAGGTTATGCTGAACTCTAATTTTAAATTTAAAAGAGAACAATACTTTAATTAAGGTTGTGCGGAGAACATGTTTTAACGTCACATTTCAGTCTTCCCATGTCTGCTAGACAAAAAAAATCAATAACTCTGCATACAGCAATTAAAAATCGGTTAATTCGCAGCTGTTAGTACACCTAATGATGACTCATCACCACGGTATCGGAAAATCGATACGGTGTGAATGGCTGTCAGAAAGTCACTTTTATGAACAAAAAATAACGACCTTAGATCCCCAACTGCTTGCTTGCACAATTAATTGGACTTCAAAGAGAAACAACACATTATGGTACGTTCAAAACAGACCGACTTTTCCTCAGATGAAGTCTACCAAGTCAGGACCGGTTTACAATCTTCCACACGCTTGCCCAAAAACTAAACTGATCAACTGATGACAGCTTTCGTTCATGCGGCCCATTCACCAAACCCACAGCAGATTACCCCTCATTGAGGGGCGAACATCCGAAACCAACCGCATACCCACGCTAATTGATAGAAGCCCATTCCCATTCACCGGAATCGCCTTCGGTATCATGACAGATGGTACATCATAAATCACAACCTTGAAAACATTCACTCAGGCAGATATAAATCCGAATCGTTTACGTCGGCGCCCAAAAGGGCGGGGACACACCAACCCACACTCACTTGAGATGTGAACGAAGCCTGGCGTCGCCCATTCCCCTCCCCCCACCCCAAGGCTGTCCACTGAACTAGAAAACAGGGGCCCCCAAAACCATCCAAGACGCTAAGGCTGTCTGGACATGAGACCGGCCCATTGTTAAATTCGTGCCCGTGTGCCCGTCCTCAAAGCACAAATCCAGATTGTGGGATAGCACGTTTATTCAACACAAGTTTACTTCGTATAAAACGATCAGAGTGGGCAAAACTCAGGTTGCTCACAGGGGCGAAGCGAGTCTGCCAGAGTACCACAAAGCGCAGGCGTTACAGAAAGGAGGTTTCAGTATGTACAGAGGCGAAAATGCATTGGGGATTGCAAAGAGATGGAAATGGATCAACAAACACTAACCAAGATAGTTCACGCGCGCACGCACACAAAGGTCAGAGCTACTCTATTCAAACATTACAAAAAATAAGAAACAGCGTTAGTGATAAAGTAGACAGACAGAGACAGTTAGAGAGAAGGGGAGAGGGAGTAAGGATGTGACAAAAATGCCCAAGATATACGAGAAGAGGAACAACAGATAAAACCGGCTTCATAGCAGTTGGTACGAGCGATTTATTTGCCTCTTCGTTATGGAGAATCACCGGCCTTCGGCTTTACCATGCCAGGGGGAAAAGGCGAGAAGTTATGGTTCCTAGAAGCAAAAATAATGTTTAAATGAAAAATGATTCGTTTTTTTTGCCAAAACCCCTAGCAGAAACAAAACTTTTTGGATGCACAACTGCAGATTGACAAAAATTAAAAAAAAAAAAACTCGGAAACATCGACAAAGCAAAGAACGCATGATCAAAGACAAGGCACTCACACGGTTTCAAAGATGGGGTGCGTGGACGAGGATCGGAAAGCCTAACCAGACTTTGGAACGGGAAAGTTATCGACCAAATAAAAAAAATAGTTGCACAAAACCCGCAAGTGAAGACATACCCGTGGATAACGCTCTGCACATCGAGGGCCGCGTTGGGAGAACAAGATGGCTTCACGCTGGAATCCGAGGTAGGGGGCGCGTTGGAACCGCTGTTCATTCCACCGCTAGAACCATTTCCACCGACGTTTGGAGCGGGACTACCGCCAGCTTTGGACATGGTCGGACCGCTTTGACTCGATTGTTGCGATGCGAGCGTTTGCATCTGCTGTTGTTGCTGCTGTGTCGCGGCCGCTGCTGCTGCCGCCGCCGCCGCGGATACAACCGCCAGTGGCTGAGACTGCGACGCGGCCTGAGAGGGTGGCTGTGGCGGTGGAGGCTGGCTATTTGGCTGTGATTGTTGCTGTTGTTGACCAGCTAATCCAGAGAGGCTGGCAGCGAAATTAGGAGGCAGGAATGGAGAGTAGGGCGTGGGTAGACCACTTTGTGCAAACTGAGGATTCGCTCCCCCAGGTGGAGGTGGAATGAGCGCAGGAATGGAAGAGGGGACGCTGTTTCCCAGCATGCCACCAGGACCAGCGGCTCCATGGGGACCCGGCAGAGCACCATTATTCGCTCCCACTGAGTTTGACGGCCCGCCAAGATTTGCAGTGGACGCGAAGTTAGCGCCGAGAAGGGCTGGAGGCAGGGTGAGACCCATGGAATTTGCTCCCGAGGCACCCGAAAACGGTGGCATGGAAAGAACGGCTGCCATGGCGGTCGCGTGGTTGTTCAGTACAGCAGTGTTGGCAGCAAGAGCAAGAGGATTAGTATGGCTGTTCAGACCGCTATACAGACTAGTGGGGGCGCCAACAAGATACTCTTTGTTCACGCAGTTTCGCAAACCACCAGGGCCTCTGTTGAGAACTGCTCGACGGATCTCGTTGGCGGCAGCCTCACGCATTTCCCGCACACTGTTTTCACTGTAGTAAGCCATATGCGGTGTCACAATAAGATTGGGGGCATCCTTGAGAGGACCTAGAGGAGGGAAAGGAAATAGCGACATCGAATTCTCACGACCAGGACTTCTGTCATGCGAACGTATTAGTCACACACACACGTCGAGCCTGACAACGTCATTCGGATGACTCATTACCACATGTCCATCCCTCACTCGCAGCTTCGCGTCTTATTCCAAAGGAGGCAGTGACCAGTACTTACCTGTTGTCAGGTCAGAGTCAATTACATCAAGAGCTGCGGCGCGAATAATGCCCGATTTGAGAGCGGCAGTCAAAGCTGCCTCATCAATGAGACCGGCTCTTGCAGTGTTGATCAAAAATGCACCTAAAATGAAAGATTAAAACGCATTAGATCCGCATTCTCAATCTCCACCTCTAATAAACAGAAACCGATAGTACCTTTACGCATCATCTTAATGGTGTCGGCATTGATCATACCGCGGTTCTGATCATGAAGAGTGCAATGAAGGGTGACACAGTCACTCTGGTAGAGAAGGTCCTGTAAATTGTAGACTCGAACAATGCCGAGGGACCTCTCAATGCCGTCGGATAGGTAGGGGTCGAAGAATGCGACTCTGAAGCCAAACGCCATAGCACGCAAAGCCACAGCGGCGCCAATACGACCTGGAAGGAAAATTTACTTCCAAATAGACCGCTTGAGGATGCTTAAGCTCTAAAACGAATCTCGCATGACTATCACCTTAACCATTTAAAATAAGACGTTACATCAGTGTTACAATGAATGACATTGTGACGGCGCTACGCGGCGTGGCGCCACAATTTGGCGTGCGCATACAAGCATGCCTCTAGTAGCTGGTGCACAAAACGTACGTTAACAACGCCGCTTTCACGGGACCGAGGCAACTCGAAAAAGACTCATTCACGACTTCCGTAATTAAAATAGGGACTTGTAAGGCATTACGGTGACAAGTTTTCAAATACAAAAATCAATACAAGTATGTTTACTTCTAGTAAGTACCTTAGAGGCACGGAATTTAATGTTAGGATAATACTTACCGAGACCAACTATTCCCAGCGTATCGCCTCGTATGCGAGCTGTTCCAGCAGCGGCGTCTTTAAGTTGTTCTGGCCCACTTATCCTTTTCCCACTGCGAACCATATCAGCTAGCCAGTAAGTTCTTCGATAGAGAGTTAAAATATGCGACATCGTGGTATCAGCCGCCTCTTCCACGCCATAACCAGGCACGTTGCAGACTGCAATACCCAATTCTCCTGCTGCTTTTATGTCCACGTTGTCAAAACCACTGGAATTGAGCATTAGATTAAGTGGTGCTAGACGAAACCTACCTCCCTATTCTGACAATTATTTTGAGGCTTTTGAATTTCTGAAGGTCTTCTCGCGTAAGAGTGATTGAGTGCCATAGAAGAGCTCCAAAGGCCTCGTTGAGAACTTTTTCATGGATTTCACTTGTGCCTGACGCGTCACAAAAAGCAACGGTGGCTACATCTTTGAGCAGTGGCATCTCTACTGTGCAATCTCTGCCATCGAGTAAGGCAACTAAAGGCCTGGTATAATGGGGACCATTTGGACGAGCTCCTGCCATCTTTAAAAAAATTTAGTAATATAGATATGCCTTAATGCTTCTTATAAGTAATGAGCACACAGACAAGCATTACTTACCTCGATTGTAGTCTTTGCTTGATGAAAAACCTTGCCAAATTGACCAAAATCAAAATAAAAAAGGATCTGGTGGAAGAGTAGCGTCGGACGAGACTCTAACGTTCGTAATGACGCAGGCGAATGACATACGAAGGAGTGATATTTTCATTTTCAAGCAAATCATTCCAGGCCGAGGTTCCTTAGCATTAATGCTAACACGCTTTAGGCCGCGTGCGCGTGCATGCTCGCGTGCGTATGTGTGTGCCTATGTGCGCGCATAACATCGTTTCAACCACCACCCACCGATAGAAAATCGAAGACACGCCGCAGACAAAGCTTTAAGGACCTAGAGGGAGAGAGAGAGAGCGAGGGGAGAGGACGCGAGGGTGTACACTGATGGGCGTGTGTGCGTGTGAGTACGACAGAATTTTTGCCCATCACTGGTTCCCCTTCCCCCCGTTCCTTGGACTCCCTCTTTAGCTCTCAGCTAGACTGTCGCATAGCTTGACAACAAATGTTGACTTGGTTTAGGCAGACGCACTAGCGTTTTTTTCCACACGTACACAGTGTGGATGTAGTAGGTAGAACCATTGCACGCTTCAATAGCGCTCGCACGTCCGGACATGAAAGCTAGGGCGTGGTCCGTGACACACGAACAAACGAACCTAAAAAAAGCAAAATTTACGAGCCCTTTTTTGAGTTCACGCTTGACTTAGTTTTCTAGAGGTCTCTGATTCGGGTGCCTTAAATAAAGTGAGCCGTATTAAGCAAATTTTGGCAGTACTACCCTCACTAAGATTCTATTTCATTCAATAAATTCAACTTGGTTTACTCAAGTTGTAATAAAAGCAGCCAGTAGATGTTGAGCTGTATCTGGTTTTCGCCCTACCCGTCTGGCCGGAAATGAGTCATAATACGCCCTCCCCTTTAGGGTGAGGTAGGATTGCACAAACGAATGTGTGGGTTACACAGACATGACTTTGGTGGTTTTTTCATTGCTTTGGTTTCCAAGCTCAGACTTGGTTACTTACGCACGCTTGAGGGAACTATCCTTGCCTAGCCTGGCACAAAGAAAAACAATGAATCGTGTACGCGCACACACACACGCACACGTGATTAGACGAAAACTGGGCCCAATACACACGCGCAGGCACACCTACAAACGCATGAACATATGCTCGCATGTGTACACTGTCTGGGACATGCACACACGCACCGCTACACCAGTCCACACACTTATATTCTACATTAAAACCTGTGTCCGCAGTATGAAACACCACGCTAAATAAGCGCGCGTACGCGAGTGTGTGCATATGTATATGTGTTTATGTCTTATATGTGACTTTGTAGTCGAGGCTCTCCGCCCCTACTTCCTAGGCGTGCGTGCGTGCGTGCTGGTAATTAGGGCACATACACACACACGCCTGGTTAATCGAGCCATTTCGGGTTAATCCTACACCGTCGCATAGGTGGGACGCGCAGTAAAACAAATTCCAAAATCTTGACACACTAGACTCATTTGTGCACTTCCCGACCGATCGATGTATTGATTTGCACATGGTGTAAGAGTACATATGCCGTTTGAACAGTAATCACAGTTCCTCACGTATAAGGTGCATCCAAGTCGAGTTATCATCTAATGCAAATGTAGAATGCTTCAATATTGTTTAGGGTTTTTTTATTTGCACTACAGTAGACTTCCCGCATATCATTTTATTTCACACACACATACACGCACAGTTCTCTCAAACCACCTACATCCTTCTCAGGTAACAGAATTGTGTACTTTAAAAAAAGAGCACGTTGGGCCGGCCTAGTAGTTAGAACCTCATATTTCCTGTTTGCGCTTGCATAAAACTAAGATCTGCGTGTGTGTGTGTGTGTGTGTGTGTAAATGCAGGACTATTTACCACAGTAGAAAAAAAAGTTTAAATGAAAATGAGGCAAAACTTGTCAGGTGTCAGTTGGCAACACCGCCAAAGGCAAGCCTAAATAACAAGTGTGGCGCGTTGCTGATGGCTCTTGTGACCATTCCAGGGTCAAGTGTGATCCCTTGATGAGCGGAAGAAATTTAATTGATATTGGCTCATCCCCTATTCCCATACTGCTGCAATGAATCTCTCTGACCATAATTCTCACTTTAAAGCCTAACATCCATTTACATAATGCCTGACAATATGCTAATGGGATATGTTACTGGGTCGGGCTTACAGTGTGTGGAATGGCATGCAGTAATTTATTCTAGATAATATCGATATGTAGCCTCTACAAAAACACCCATTAATATGCAGAACATCTGGGCTCTATTGCTCTAATCTTAGAATGAAGCCAATAATCCGAAAACAACCACCCAATTGCGGCCCTATTTACCAGCCTTGTCACGTCTCCCGCCATTTTTACCTGACCCTACCCGTGACTCGGCTTGGTGGGGGTAGGACGGGGAGATTGAGACGTCGTGACGTTTGTGGCATTGTCAATTCTAGCTTGAACTCCAGCTGCTATCGGTAACTCATCGACGTGACCTACTGTGACAGACTGTTGCATTTGAATCACATGCGCAAAAAGCGCAAAAAAATGAGTCAGATTGGTCTATTCAACTGTATCCTGCCTCTCTATCTACCTGAGAGAGTGTGTATGTGTGTATGTTTGCAGGCTTGCAACATCGTGCGTCCAGCAAGTGGAACACACTTGCCATGTGAGGAGTCTTTCTTTGAAGTTTAATCGGGGTGGTTTACGTCGGCGTGTAATTTTATTACACCAGCGAGGATTTGATGCAAGACAGGATGCGCGCTTGTGTGTGTATGTGTGCCTTCAATTACCCACGGAAGCCCTATTTTCATTCAAAATTGCTACTTATTTAGTAATTCAACCTCTGAAATGACTAGCAGACCATGCAACATCAGTTACCATTCCTAGGCGGATCCACGTACCGTTTACAAGTGCATCACAGGATAAATGAGGATTGAAGCGTTCTGCTTAAAAAGGGAAAATCGTTGCAATTTTTAGAATCTGAAATGTACGAATCGAAATAACTCCTTGGGTCCGATTTGACCTTGTTTGAGAAAATTCATTTGGGAAAAAAAAATACTATTTAAACACTGAATGAGAAAAAACACAGGCAGATTATAACGTTAACGACAAAGGTAACACGAATGAAAAGTTTTGGGCATTCCAATCTATTAGAGATTCTTAATTTCGTAAATGAACTAGGCTTAGGACCACCTTGGTGAAGAATGTTGAGCCAAAAGCTTTAACCGATTTTTTACCTCCTACACACGAATGGGCAGTGAGGTTTGGCGTGGCTACCATTCTGATAATATCAACTCATACAATTTGTATTTATAATAAACTGGACAGATGCCAAAGCGTCAAAGCACAATAACATAGATGCATAGTATTTTTGTACAATTAAGAGTTTATTCGAATCTCCGAAAGATAGGCTGATTCTCATTCGCTCTGTGACGTAAGATTTCAGTCGGTTGTGTAAGCTAACCTTCAGGCAAGTCGAACTGATGGTATGCCAATTACAAAAGCCAAAGTGGCGATATGAAATACACGCTGCTGACTCGTGCAACAAAGCTGAACTTTGTTTCGAAAAACACAAAAGTTTTTGGTGACTCACTGTAAAATCAACAACAAAAACTCAAATGCCAATCAAGACAAAAACCCTAATGGTTTTACGCTGCTGTAAAGATTTGTTGAGGTCAGGTTTTATTGACCTTCCCGCATCCGGGCGATTATCGTCAAGTTGGACGTGACCTTTTGAATAATGCTCAGGTGAAGCCTCACTTTTACCCTCTATCAAGAAAATTACACAACTGCATTCATTTGTCCTGAATTCACATTATTTTACAAAATATGCAAATATGGAATAGTGTTCCACTTTTTCTAGCTGCAAATGCAACAACGAGTTATGGCTATCTGGCTAACCTTGTCCTAAGATGAGGGATTCACCTTCCTTTTAACTTGGTGTTGCGAAAACAGCTGATTCACACTAGACTAGCTAAGTTATTAACAAAAATAAGGTAAAAAAGACTATCTTAAATGGCCTATTATTCAGTAGTATTTTAGGACTTGAGTAACAATACAGTATTATAGCTTTTCAATCTGTCACTTACCACTCAGGCTTACCCACCACAGGATGCAAAAATGTTCCCATTTAACTAATTGCATCACTGCTACTAGGTAGTGAGGTGCTAAGTAAGTTCAATTACTTTGCATTTCAAGCAGCTTGTTATGAAACCATGGTGTCAAAGGAGTTGTAAAAATCAAATCCGAGTTTCCTGACCACGAGATATTCTTGATTTTACACATCACCATAGCAATGAAAAACATTACTACTTTTATTGCCAGTAAGTGAATAGTAATTCGAAAAACTGAACAGAAATATTACCCCAAGTTAATGAAATTAAAGCAGACTTTTAAAAAAAAGAAAGGGCAAATTTATCAATAAAGGCTTGTCATACAGCTTCTTAGGCCAGTACATATTTTACAGAAGATTTCATAATAAAAACACGGAAAGGGTGGAAGGTTGGGTATCACAGACTCCATGAACTCTTCCCCAGGCCACATCCTTTTTAACAAAAATAATGTTATTTTCAAATTTTGTTAGGCAAAATATTAAATGAGACATTAAGTGGAGATAAAGTAAAGTTGAAGGCACTGGTACGTTCCATTTTTAAGGCGAATTTGGCATATTTATCCATGGACGTTGGGTGGATTAAGTGAAATTCAGTCATTTGTGAACTCACCTCAATTTATACTAATTAACCATGCTATAACTTCGTAAAAGTATATTTAGAAAGTGCCTCCAACTCACTAGCAAAATGTAATCTCAACATTTTTTGACGAAAATAAAAATGTTTATGCTCTCTGAACCGAATTAAGACACCGTAAAGTAGGACAAATAGTAGGGGAACGTCGCACGGTTTAAAGCCCTTAAAG